TTAGAGTTGATTACTTCTTATATATAGTAGATCAAGCCATTTTTTCACTTCAAAATAGATTTGAACAGTTTGAAGTATATGAAAGTATCTTTGGTTTCCTATTTAATGGTAAAAATTTGAGATCATTAGATGATGAGAAATTGAAGAAATATTGTCTTAACCTTGAAGGTTCCTTAAAACACAACAATCACTCAGATATTGATGGTTTAGACTTATTTTCCAAGTTAAAAGTGTTAAGAGAAATACTAGAAGTAGAAGATAATACTCTAATCGATATACTCAATCAAATAAAAAGACTTGATTCTTTTCCAAATGCTTATATTGCTTATAGAATAATGTTAATAGTTGCTTCAGCAGAAAGAAGTTTTTCAAAATTAAAATTGATAAAATCTTATCTAAGATCAACAATGTCTCAAGAAAGATTAAATGGCTTGGCTATATCATAAAATCTTATCTAAGATCAAAATTAAAAGGAATTACTAGAAAAAATCGATTATAACAAAATTATTAACAACTTTGCATCTCAAAAAGCTAGAAGAATAGATTTTAAATAAAAATATATAATATAACATTTCTATAAATATCTAGGCCACATATTAAACTTTCGCTTTACGCCCCATTTACACTTGAGCCGCCCCAGCTAACTAACCAAAGAAATAGGCTACGTATTGGAAATTTAAATACAGCTATAACAAACAAATAAGATACAACAACTGGATAACGACATAACGTAGAAGCTGGACAGTTCAGGAAATGAAAGAAAGGAATCTAATCTTCTCTAATATACTTCACTTTTCTTTTTCCGGAGATAGCAAAGCTGATCTTCTTGAACACCCAATAGCATGTTAATTTTCGTAGCACAGTTCAGTTATGAACATCTCAAAAATATATTTTACAACTATATTAGCTTCTTCAGACTGTAGTATTTTTAATTTACTGTTGCAGAGCAGTATAACACTCAAAGGACCAATGGCTCAAGACAGTCATCATCTGCTGTTTTGGAAGTCAATTTGGCTATGTAAGAATGAAATAAAAGGGACTAAAACTAAGAATTCGTGGTAGATAAATTATTAAGATAGATACTCTTGAATTGATCTAACAACATAACCAATAACCACTTTATTTTCACATTCTTCTTTTGAGTTACTCGCGAAGGAAGATCAAGAAAAGCAGAGTGAATGAATTAGAAATACCTTCCTTTTGGTGTCTGCATATTGGTATCCTCTCAGCGGTAGATGTAGAGAAGACAAACTAAATTTGCTTTCTTCAAAGACTCACCTGACCCACAATAAAGGATACATTTCAGAGGATTCATTGCCGAAGAAAGAAATGTTATTGTATGTAAATAGATAATGGTTCATCGAGGAATCTGAAAACTTTAACACTCAAAATGGATATAACACCAAACAAACAACACTATCCCTTCAACAAAACACCTTATAAACTACCTCCACTCCCACCAACAAGCTTACAATAGGAGGAAGAAATTTGCAATCCAAGAGAAAAAAATACTATCATTATGTAAGCCATTTATCAACTTTCTTAACTTCTACTTCAACTTTTACTCCAGTGCTTACACTGTTTAGCAATAACATTTTTGGAACAATATTGTGCATAAGAAGAAATGACATTTGAAACCATATTTTAGCAAACATTTCAAAAGTGTCCATTCAACACAGTTATCACTAGTGACTTTTAAGAACATAAACAGATAATGCTTCCCAAAAAGAAGGAAAAACTGAAAGTCCATCAAGTTGCAAGGAGACAACAAATGCAGCACCAAAGCAAATTAAATATATAAAAAACAAAATAAATTTGGGGTGTGTTTGGTGTGACCAAAGTCATTTTCCATGGAAAATAATTTCCTGAAAAATGTTCTCCGATGTTTTCTTGGCGTTTGTACATGTATTATCAAAAATTAATAATAATATCAGCAAATCGGGGTTTTTGATTAAACTATTGACTACTAGAGATTAATAAATAATTTTCATTTTAGCTGAGGCAAACTAAGATAGTAGTTGTTAGGAAAATAACTTCCTCATGTAAGTGAGGAAAGTCATTTTCCTCCTTTTGATGGGAAAATGTTTTGCTTTCATCATATCAACATTTCCTAGAAAGCTTTTTCCTTCCTACCACACACTTCTTTAAAGCTCCTGGATAGTAGTAATATTTTTCTCTCATTCATGTTTATGTTAAGTGATATAGACCTAAAAAATTAGAAACTCTTCATTGCCCTTTCTAAGTAGACCAAAAAAGAAGAAGAGGAAATCAGTTTCATCTGCTGCAAAACACAAAGCCTCCAAATCTAGAGCTCTAAAGCTACATATGTCAATCTACATTGTAAAACAAACACAACGTTTCCTCAAAGACTGAAACTTTATCAGAAAAGAAACCAACCCATATGAGAAATCAGTGGTCTCAGCAACTACAAAGTTCATATAAGGAGAGGGAAGACCGAACAAAAAACAAACCTTATTTGACACTTCTGAGATAAATGAACAGGTTTAAACTTACCAAGAAGATCTCAACCAAGTGAAAATCCAGCTTTCTTGTGAAAAAAATGAAAAAGAAAATGTGGCTCAAGGACCAAGAAAATGAAGCAGAAGAAAGAACCCTAAGAAGAGTGGGGGTGAAGAGCTTGAGGGGTTGTGTTCGTACACACACACACACACACAAAAGTTAGCAGGAGAGTGGTAGGCTAGCTTCAGCTAAGCTCTCTAACGCAGTTTCCCAAGTCACTGCTCACTACTGTCTTCTTTCACTTCTATGTTTGTTTGTAGTATTTGTCAGTGTATGGATAACTTAACTAGAAAAAGAAGAATAATTAATGGAAGATAATAAAAGTGCTGATATGGGAAAAATTAATGCCCACGCTCGGGGAACAAGCGCTTGACCATGTCTTCCTTTTGCTAGCTTTTGGCCTTATATTTCTAAATATGTTTTGAAAAATCTGATTTGGATAAAATTTAGTTTGAAAATAAAAATGTGTTTGAACATCAATTTTCAAAATATATTTCTCAAATTTATTTTGGAAAACATAAAACATAATTTATACCCATAAGTTCTAAAAATTATCACAAATATCCAACAATACCATTATCAATAACATTAATTATATTATCACAAACCATACTCCTTAACATAAATAAATTTGGTACAAAATTATCATTTTTATAATGAACTATATGATTCACCATCAAATGACCTAGAAGACGAAGCAATATTGTTACAAAATAATAAATGGTGGGTTCTTTTATAAAATATAAAAGTTTGGAGCAATTTTTGAAAAATGTAATAATGATATTTTAGCCCAAAACCAGCTATTGAGCTGGTTTTTGAATTTGAGATTTAGGATTTTGCCAAAATATAACCAAAATCTATGACCAAATATGTGTTTGCCAAATAAAATCCAAATTTATTTTGGCAAAATATATGGCCAAACGGGTCCTTAATTTTATTGGACTCCGGCTGAGGAAATTTACTCCCATTTCTTATGCTCCATTTTTATCACTTAGTCGTAATTAAGTGTTTAATATTTTCTTAATTTATAATTCTTATGATTACATTACTTTTTATTGTATATGCTGAATAAGCATAAATATTTTACATGAGGCCAATCTCTTCAAATTTTTATTTATTTACTGAATTATTCTCGTATACGTTACAACTACAGCATTTGTAAATACATAATCTAGCATTATAATTTTATTTTTTATAGTACATATTATGTAGTAGAAAGGTTTACCTTTTTTAAACCGAGAGTCTGTTGAAAACAGCCTCTCTATTTCGTCAGGTAAAGGGTAAGGTCTGCGTACACACTACTCTCCCTAGACCCAACTTATGACATTGTAATTGGTATGTTGTTGTTGTATTATGTAGTGGAAAAGATCTAAAAATTGCTCTTGTACAAGTCATTTCAGTGTTGTGTATACTCCTATCTAATCTGGCATCACCTAGTAAAATTACCCGTCCTCGTATATTTGTATGATTGGAGTATGTTTCTTTGCACAAATTTTATCAATTAATTATGGTTAAGTAATGTATATTTGGAACTTGACTCATTACTTAACCAGGATAAATCAACATGATTTGGTAGATGTACCAAGGTCTAAGTAAGTTTAGGTTTATTAATTTTTTTTTAATGTTTATTAGTTTTTGACATTTGTATCAATCAGAAATTTTTAAGTGCAGATGCATCCTAATCCATATCTTGTTAACTTATGTCTCCTTTTTTTTTTATTTAAATTTTAATTAGCAATTATTTATATTTTTTTTCTCCTTTTTTGTCACTGCTTAAAGCTTTGGATTGTTGTAGACAGAGGATATAAAGAACTGATGAGGGCTAATTGTAAGTCATCCTACTGCTGATAGTAGCACTAGCACATATTGTTTCTATGTCATGTTTCCATTTTCAATTTGTCATCCGTTTTCATTCTGATGGTTCACATGATATCCAATTCATATGTAATAATTTCCAATGCAGTTTTCTTTTCGAATTACGTCAAAAGGGCAGCCCGGTGCACTAAGCTCATCCTATGCGCGGGGTCCGAGGAAGGGTCAGACCACAAGGGTTTATTGTACGCAACCTTATCCTGTATTTCTGCAAGAGGCTGTTTCAATGGCTCGAACCTGTGACCTCCTGGTCACATGGCAGCAACTTTACCAATTAAACCAAGGTTCCCCTTCACTTATTTTAATAATCGTGATGTCAGGACCAGTTGTGCACAACTAATTCAACATGACACCTGCTACCTCCGAATCATGTTATTTTCTTTTCTAATCGAGCTTCTACTTTAATTAATATTTGCTTTCTGGAATGGCAAACTGGCTTTCAGAACTGCAGATACTTGTTCTGGCCAGGTTCGAATTGAAGTTCTGTTGGAAAGCATAGAGAACTTATTATGATTAACATTCAGATTTAAGGCCATCTTTGCAAACATCTCCAGAATTCTTGAAGGCAAATACCAATTGATTTAAGGACAGAAAAACAACAATGTCCATTGACTAAATAAAGAAACAGTCTCTCTTTTCACTATATTGTGTACATACTAAAGATGGAATCATATAATCACAATGAAAAAAAACGTTTCTCTAAAATAAATTCACAACTATCACAATCTGAAATCATCAACACTCGTGGGAGGAAAAAAAAATTAAAAAGCATGTATCAATTTTTTTTTTTTTTTGATAAATTAAAAAGCAAGTACGCGCAGGCATACACATAAAGTAACGACTTCATATTGATTTTATGCAGAAGTTGAAGTTGCACGAATCGATCAAATAATGCCTTGTTTCAAATCCTTATATCTTCTCTGCATTTAACTGGTATTGCAGGGCCGAGGGACAGCTTTAATACTTGTGACAAGATGAGTCAGTTGACAACTCCATTCGCGTAAACGCCAGCAATAGAAGTATTTGTGCTTGTGGAGATACTCTCGATCTTTGGTGGGCCTGAATGCCGCCTTGTAATGGCTGGTGAAGCTGAGTAAGAGAGTCGCTTCTTCACAGAACCTGCTGATCCCTTTTCTGGTGTTGTACCGTTTTCCATGCCCAATGGGCTTTGCAACCGCGTTCTTGCTTTTGCTGACTGAGTGGAAGCCATATAACTTGGCACCGAGGAGGAACTTGCCAAGCTCTCCTCATCATCTCTTACGGATGACCCTGCAATGCTGTGCCTCCTGTTCCGTTCTGATTGAACACTAAACACGCTTCGTGAGTCATCATCTTGGTTTATTGCACTGACTCTTGCACTCGCTGGTTTTAGTTTTCTAGCTGTTGGAGAAGCGCCTGGCTTGGAATGGGTAGTAGGGCCTGGCTTGGAAGGGGTAGTAGGGGACTGGCGGCTTGAACGACGGTTTGGCTTTTGGCTGGATGGAGAAGAAGGGAGTTCAGAATTCAGCTGATGCCGGGCAAATGCCTTGGTAATTTCTCCTCCAGCAATGCTCACACTGGCACTTCTAACAGACATGTGATCACTTTTAAGTTCTTTCTCCGACATGCTTTGGGTTTCCGTTGGCCTAGCACCCATCCATCGCTCTAACCAACTCCAACCCCATTGAGGATTGGTTGGATCCATAAACAACAAATTGGTAGATTTTGACGACTTCTTCCAGGTTTGCTGTCATGTCAACAGTATAATCAATGATCAGTAATGTCATCAATAGTTCACCAGAAAAGTCAACAACAACAACAACGACCCAGTGAAATCCCACTAATGGGGTCTGGGGATGGTAGTGTGTACGCAGACCTTACCCCTACCCCGAAGGGGTAGAGAGGCTGTTTCCGAAAGACCCTCGGCACAAGAGGACAAAAAGAAGACAAAAAGACAAAAGAGGACAATATCAGTATCATCACGGAAATCATAAAAAAAATAGGAACAACATGAAATCCAGAAGAAAGATGCAAAGCAAAAGCGATAACTAGTAAATAAGTCTTGGCACTGAAAAGCGAAATAATAAGGCACGACATTGCCACTAACTATCTAGACAAAAACCCTACCAGACTATTTTAACAACGGTACGAAGTAAGTCAAGACTCAACTACCTCCTAACCTACAACCCTAATCCTCGACTTCCACATCTTCCTATTAAGTGCCATGTCCTCGGAAATCTGAAGCCTCGCCATGTCCTGCCTGATTACCTCTCCCCGATACTTCTTAGGCCACCCTCTACCTCTTCTCGTGCCCTCCACAACCAGCCGCTCATACTTCCTTACTGAAGCATCTGGGCTTCTCCTCTGTACATGCCCGAAATGCATGTAAAGATATTCATTTAAAGAAATGCACTGTGTATTGGCTAATACGAGAAAACAAAAATAGATGAAACCAAGATATCAGCAATAATATCATCATTAAAATTTGAGGTTTTTCTTTTGGTAAGCATCATTGTTAATATTTGACTGTACAAATGTGAGGCAAAAATATGATTCCTAGAAACATCACCTTGGAATATTGGTACAAGGTTACATACATCTAACCCACAGTGGACTGCCCTATTTCAGAATGTTAATTGTCCTATATAAAAGAATGATTAGTGGAGTACCTGGTGGGAATATGAATAGGCTAGTGCTCTTTCTCGTCTCGTTGCAGCTTCATATTTGCTGAGCAAACTTGCTTCAATTTGCTCCTTTGATTGTAGACTATCATCCCATTCCTCCCCTTTCTATCAAAACAGCACATGGTAAGTGTAATAAGACAAGAGGCATTTAAAAACTATACATTCCCGCAAGGATATGAATGCACAGTATACAAACAACGAGAAACCCCCCCCCCC